CCCCCTGAACCTCTCTCATCCTCCTACGTGCCCAGCCACCTCACCACCAGGCTGATGCAGACGCTGTGCCCTTAGGCTAGAATATTTTTCCTCTCATCCCTCGCCAAGCTAAGCTGACCAACCTTTCAGGCCTGAACTTAGGTATCCCCCCTTCACCAGGAAGTCTCCTCTGAGCAGCGCAGGAGAGCAGGTGCTCTGGGCCATCCCATCTGCCCCTGCAGAGTCCAAGGGAAGCTTAGAAGCCACTCCCAGGGTGGCATGGAACCCCCACAACTCTCCTGGGCTCCTCGGCCCAGCCCTGGGCCCTGCACCCCCAGGCAAAGCCGCTCTCTCATCCCCAGGAGAACGTGCTTCTCCACCCCAGGCCCTAAGGGAGTCATTTAGTCCATCCTCCTGCGGCAGAAACCAGGCACATCTCAAACATTCCACAATTATAATTTCAATGCTATGTGTACTCTCTTAAGTTACGGGGTTTTTAAAATTTTTTTTTTAATGTGTATTTATTTGAGAGAGAGACAGACAGACAGACCAACAGAGTGAGAGTGGAGGAGGGGCAGAGAGAGGGAGACACAGAATCCGAAGCAGGATCCAGGCTCAGAGCTGTCAGCACAGAGCCTGATGCGGGGCTCGAACCCAAGAACAGAGAGATCACGACCTGAGCCGAAGTCGGACGCTTAACCGACTGAGCCAGCCCGGCACCCCAAGTTACGGGTTTTTCAGGCTTAACAATTCAAAATAACATTTATTTCCTCTAAATTGTTCTTTTTTTTTTTTTCTTTTGCAAGGAGTAAGGATAGGAAAGAAACTAATATTTTTTATTTTAATTTTTTTTTTTTCAACGTTTATTTATTTTTGGGACAGAGAGAGACAGAGCATGAACGGGCGAGGGGCAGAGAGAGAGGGAGACACAGAATCGGAAACAGGCTCCAGGCTCTGAGCCATCAGCCCAGAGCCCGACGCGGGGCTCGAACTCACGGACCGCGAGATCGTGACCTGGCTGAAGTCGGACGCTTAACCGACTGCGCCACCCAGGCACCCCGGAAAGAAACTAATATTTGTCAGATGTATCTGTTCCCATTCAAAAGAAAGAGAGTCATAGGCCCATTTTTTGGATGAAGAAACTGAGGCTTGAAGAATTGCACTTCATTTCTTTATCCAACACTCTGTGGTGGTGGGAACACACCAGTGAAAAAAAGCATGATCCTTATCCTCTTGGAGATGATAAATCATGGGAAGAGATACACCACACAATTTGACAAATAACTCTTTAATAATCATTTTGATTAGGTTGATAGTGCTTCAAAGAAAAAGTCCAGAGGGCTGACAGACAATATGCAACCAGGAGCCCAAGGAAGTCTTCTTGGAAGTGATATGTAAATTGAATCCTGAGGAAATTAGCTTAGTAAAGGACTGGTTGAGGTGCATTTCTACCCCCCCCCCCCCCCCCCCCCCGCAAGCCCCGCAGGGGAAAACAGCACATGCAAAGGCCCAGAGGGGAGGCGGAGCAGAGACACAGGGACAGATGAGAAGATTTGCTAAAAGCACAAGACCAATGAGGGATAGACCTGGGTCAGAGCCCAAGGCTAGCTGACCCCAGGGCCTTTGCTTGTGCCTCCCCAACAGGAGGGCAGGTTGCTGCTGACAGAAAACAGCCCTGGGAGCTTCCTGTATTATTTTCCTTCTTTGTCCTCCTTGGATTTCGGCTATAAGCATGAGAAATTAACAACAAATTAACATCACTAGTTCTAACCGGGAATGTAAAGAAAATTAAGTCCTCTATTAAAGCAGTTTAACAACCCATTCTTTGAAGGTTCTGATAAAAACAAGTCAAGAAGATAAACGTTCAAGAGCAATCTGGTGCCGTATGCAGTCATTCTTCACTGCCGGTCAAAATCCTTGTTTCCACGAACTTAACAGAATGCCTCTTCTTACTTCCCTTGAATATTTTCTTACAGGTCAGGCTTTTTCTTTTTCTGAGACTCCAGCATCACAGGTGTCTGAGGCCTTGCATGTAGGTAACGCAAATTACCTCTGAGGAAAAGTCAAGTTCACACCGCCCACCCTCCTGCCTGGGTAAGGGATGGTCTGACAGGGCCTTGCCAGCCTGAAGAGCTCATCTCCTAGGTTGGGTCCTGACGGTGGCTTGAACACAGGCTCGGGCTCAAACTCCTGGCGTGAGGCATAGCACATAAGATGCTTCCGTGTTCCCCAGACACCGCTCCGCTTCCCAAAGGGAACCTCTTAGCTCAAGCCATCTTCAAGATGCAAGCAGAATGCTCAGCCCCTGTGTGTGTCCACAGGTCCGTTTCTGGAAGGAAGGAGCAAGCTCCAGGCCGAGTCAGTGAGTGGAGTCAGGAGGAGACAAGAGGACAAAGGTAGAGGGGGACCAGCTTCCAGGATTCGATCCAGACAGGAAGGGCGGGAAGGATAGGCAAGAGCAGGAGCCCTGTCGGGGACCAAAGCCACAACCTGAGGCCAGTCAGTGCACAAGCCCCCGGACCTGCGAGCCAGGGTGCACAGAGGGACCCTAGGCCAGATGCCACGGGCCCTGTTCCGTGAGGACCCACATCCCTCAGGGGGGTGGAGAAGAGATACACAGCGTCTCCCGGGGCTGGGGGTAGAGTTTCGAACCACCGCAGGGTGAAATGATTAGCACATCAAGTATGGGATCCAGAACCTAGAACCACAGGATATTTGGGTTCGTTTTTCTCCTCGTGCTAGAAGAGATCTGAGAGAAGGGAGGTGAAGAAATGCCAAGGTTCCGGGCAGAGAAAGCAGGACAGACTGAGGGTAGACACCAGGTAGGGGCATCTGACCATCCAAGTGACAGCATCGTGGCATGAACTCCCAAAGGACCGGAATGTAGAAAGACCTGCCCAGACTGGTGAGGCCCAATCAGAGGGGCCCAGCTTCCCTGAGTTTGACGGCCCTTCCTTCTAGCAAAAGATTTTCCGTGGTGGCTACACCTGTAGTATATGTTGATGATAAGGCCGTGATAAGTTTAAAAATGCTTTTCAATGACTTTGTGTCTCATTTATTGCAAATCATCTGCGGGCATTGAAAAGGTACACATACAAGGCAGCACCATCTCTGAAGCCTTCCGGCCCGCCTCTAACAAACAAGCAAACAAACACATCAAAAGTTGAACGGAACCTATTCAGACTTTAGAGACAGGACATAAGGGAAAGAACATACAGCCAACAGAACGGAGCGGCCAACCTGCTGTGGCCAGTAATCACGGGCACAAAAAAGCCACAGGTGGGCATGGAGGGATAGACTCTAGATTTAAAAAAAATTAAGACACATAACAACCAAATGTCAGAGGCGGATCTTGTCTGAGTCCTGAGGAGACAAACCATCTGTAAACAGACAACTTTGAAACTGTCATAGACATTTGATTAGAATGGAAACATTAATTTCAGTAGTTGAGATGATCACACAGTGGTTATGTAAGAAAAGGTCCACGTGAGGGGCGCCTGGGTGGAGCGTCAGACTTCAGCCCAGGTCATGATCTCACGGTTTGTGGGTTCGAGCCCCACGTTGGGCTTTGCATTGACAGTATGGAGCCTGCTCTGGATTCTCTATCTCCCTCGCTCTCTGCCCCCTCCCACTCATTTTCTTTCTCTGTCTCTGTCTCTCTGAAAAGTAAACATAAAAAAAAATTTTTTAAACGTCCATGTGTTTCCAACAGCGGCGCACTGATAAATGTTGAACCGCCGACTCTCTGGGGTGGAGAACTGTAGGGGAGCCCTGTTTTGTAGCGTTTGCTGATTTCTGGGGTGTAGATCTCCCACGTGGCAGATTTCAGGCTACCGGCATGACATCACGGAACACAGAATCGAAAAGAGATGCCCACGATCGGCTCTGAGCAGCCAGAACCAGGCGGCCCCAGCACGCCGCTGGCTTTAGAGACCTACACTGAGGTGTTCAGGTGACGCGATAAGATAGCTGCAATGTGTTTTGAAATAACTCAGTACAGAAAAAGAGAAACAAAAAAAGAGTAGATGAAGCAGATGGAACCAAGTTTTGGTAACTGTTGAGTCTGGATGATGCATACCTGGGGGTTTACTGTACTATTACTTTCTTCCATTGTATATATTTGAACATTTTCATAATAAATAAAAATGTTAAGCTACGATCATCTTATATGTAGGCAAGAGAGGTTTATTCCCAGAATTCTAGGTGTGCACATTGATTCCTGGACCCCGACCCTAACTCCACAGCCCCTTTATCTGAAGATAAAGGGTGGGACGCATAGGCATTGACACCACATGCCTAAGTCCTTCTATCAGTTCATAACTAGGGTTTCTCCATAGACCCAGAGCTTGGCTGGGGTGGAAAGAGAGCCCCAAAAGAGGAAAGTGACAGAGGTCCTCACTGGGAGTCCTGGCTGTATCATCGTCTAACACCGTGACCTTGGTAACTCATCCCAACTCTCTTGAGCCTCTATTTCCTCGCTGGCCAAATAAGGGTGTTCATAACTTATGGTAAGGATTCAATGCACTACGTAGGGGGTTGCAGGGACATGAATGAGCCATTAAAGATGTACAGAGGTCACCCTTCTTCACCAGAGAATGTGGGTACCCCTGTTGCCAAACCTCCCCACTTTTCAAGAGAAGCTGGGGATCCCAATCTATGAAACCTCCCAATCTCGACATGTTGTCAACAGATTACACACACTTGGTCCCAGTGGCGGACCAAGCGAAACACCTGCAGATCATTCGAGTGTGTCTTTGGGCTTAAACCAGGGAGCAGGATGAAGCGCCTTACTCGACACTCAGCGAAGCTGAGCCCCAGGCTTAGAATTCCTCACACACGTCCCATTGATTCTTCACAGGATCTCTTATGACTCCCACTGCACAGATGAAGAAACTGAGGCTCGGATTGGGGAAGAGATCTGGCAGGGCTGGGAGCACATACAGGCTTCCCGAGAACCTGACGGTCCACTTTACCCCCTCTCTAGATTCCTAGAAGGGAATTTAGGGAGCAAATGGCAGGCCCAGAGAGGGGCAGGGAGGTGCCGGGGGCCCCACAAACGCGCGTGGCTGGCTGAGACTGATCAGGCATCCTGCCCCTTCTTGGTCAGGGCACCATGTGGACAGCTCAGAGGAGACAGCTGTGTAGATCCGTCTAGCCAAGCTCGAGCTGGTGCAGGCCATGGGGTCAGCAGAGGAACCCTCTGCTTTTTACCTCCCTGATCAATGCATGCATAGGTTTAAAAATGTGCTAGACCCCAAGACGAGGCCCTCAGTTTTTCCACCTCGAAAATCTGGGGAGCTGGACTGGAAATCCTACTCACCTGTTGACCAGACACTCTGTTACTGGATGCTTGCTTCTAAGATCGGGCTGGAGAACAGCCAACCACGTTGCTTCAGACCCATTCACTGAGACCTGGCAATACTTTAGACGTGCTGTATGTGATTCTTCCTGATTAAAAACTTGGCCAGGTTTCCCTTCCTTGGCGAATTTTCTAGTAAGGAAAGATAACTCACTCCAAAACCGGACCACATGGAGAGTTAAAGAATTGTTCTCTTCAACCAAAGAAAAGGAAACGCCTAAGGTGTAGTCAGTGGGCAATTCCATCCCCAGATCACCTGGGTCCAAACCCTGGCTGCGCCACTTCCTAACCGTGGAACTGTAGGGAGTCCGTCGGATCCCTCTGTGCCTCGGTTTCTCCATATGTAACACAAGAGTGCCTCCGTCATAGGGTTGTTGATACATCTTAAAGCACTTTAGGCAGCCCCTGGGCCTCACCACCCATAAATGGGAATAGCGGTTTCTACATCCAAGGCTGTGGCCACAATTAAATGAGTTACTACTATAAGCAAAGCCTCTGTGGCACAGTGGCTGTCATATCAGAAGCACCAGATACATGTTCACTATTATTATCACATGCGATTATACATGAAAGAGCTATATTGATGATTGAACTTTCTCAGTCACTTGTATGTAAATCCTCACCACTGGGCTGTTCTTAGAAGAGCATTTCCTCAAAGAGACTTTCACATTAAGACTTTCCACTGACTCAGACCAGAGGACTCCTCCTCTCCCTTATCACAGTCAGGGCGGGCCTTTCTGGCCACGGGCCTCCGTTCCCACCCTCCCCGGCTCAGCTCCTTCCAGCTCCTAGGACTCATAGTCACTGCTTCGTGCGCGTCTCCCGGCAGCCCCAGGAGAAGGTGAGGCGGGTAATGTTGTCCCCGCCTGACAGACACAGACACTGGGGGGTGCCAGGCACTCCCCCAACGGTCAGGGGGCATGCGCTGCAGGACAGAGACTCAAGCCCAAACACCTGAGCCCAGGCACACGACATGGCTCTGGAGCCCTGGGTCCGCCACTTTCCTTGGGCAGGTCATTTACTTCTCTAACTGCCATTTCCTCACCTGTAAAATGGGGAAATAGCAGCACCTACTTCCTAGATTTGCTCTAAGGATTGAACAAGTGACACCATGTAAAGCACTTAGAACGATGAGGTAGATGAGCACTCAACATTTTAGCAGAACAAGGCATTCTAGTTTGCCAGGCACGGTCCTGCTTCCTGTTAGAGTCTTGAGCACTCTTAAAAATGTCTGGGTTTGGAAGGAACACATATGACCACCCTAAAATAGTTTGTCTGTTGCTGTTTATAGAACAATAATTATTCTTTTTTAATGTTTATTTATTTGAGAGAGAGAGAGTGTGTGTGTGTGTGTGCAGGTAAGGGGCAGAGAAAGAGGGAGAGAGAGAAAATCCCAAGCAGGCTCTGTGCCCTCAGCACAGAGACTGACACAAGGCTCAGTCTCACGAATCGTGAGATCACGACCTGAGCGGAGATCAAGAGGCAGACACTTAACCGACTGAGCCCCCCAGGCACCCCAGCAATAATTACTTATTCCTATTTCCCACCCTACCACGCTGAGACTTCAGGAAGCACTTCTGTTGGCTCACAATGGTTCAGTAATTCAGTTCCGCCCTTAGGTAAGAGTGGATCCTGCCCTGGGGACCCTGAAACTCTGGTCCTCCGGCCAAGCTCTCATCACAGGGAGAAGAGATCAGGGGCCCAAAGAATATGCCCACTTGGAGCCTGTGCCCCCTTCTCTAGATCATACTCTAGGTACCCAGGCCTCTGGGATTCCCTGCCCAGACAGCCCCAAGCCCACTCCAGCACCTGGGTGGGTCTCTTCCCCAGGTCCACCCCGTGAGGACAGACCCCCACCACAGGCACGCCCAGCCCCCTGGGCCTGAGGGGTGGCCAAGGAGCAGCTCTCTGCAGGGAGAGGAGGTGTGGCCTGGGCTTGCACGTGCAGGCTGAGCTGTTCACATGTGCGGGGCAGACCAAAGGCAGATGTGGGAAAGAAGGGGTCTCCTCTCCCTGCACCACCGTGCCCCTCACAGGGTCCGAGGAGTCTGAGAATTCTCCATTCAAAGCTGGCCTTCCAGGTTGCTAGGGAAGTGTACTTGTCAAGGTAGGAGAATAGGACATATTTTATTCCACATTTTGTTAGCTTGATTTATAACTTGCAAATATTTAGACATATGGTATGTGAGCCTTCATCTGTACTCCTGCTCAGCCCCACAAATCCCCGCCACCTTCTGCCTACTCTCAGCACCAAACGTTTACCGAGCCCGTCCTCGTGCTGAGCCCCAGAGACTCCATGGAGTGGAGGGCACCAGTCCCAGCATCCAAACAGGACCATCCACGTGACAGCAAGCCTCACGCTCCTAAAACAGTAAGAGCACAGGGTCAGAAGGGAAGGCGTAGGCCTGGTCTGTGGCTCTGTCCCCAGCTCCTAGCGATGTGATTTTTCTCTGGGCCTTGGTTCTCCCATTTAGACAAGAAGTCCTCCCAGCTCTCCGTAACCGTGGGACGCAAGCTGAGGCAGGGTGAGAGACACAGAATCAGATGCGAGACCTAGAGAGGGCATGAGCTAGAGATGGGCGAGTAAGGCTTACGAGTTAGCGTGCTGTGGAACTGAGCACTCTGCCCCAGCAAGGTACAGGCTGCAGCCCATGCCCCTTCATTCATTCATTCCACGAACGCTTCAGCCACCCACGCTGCGCCGGGCACTGAGCTGTCTGAATCTGCCAGATAGGAGAGGGTGAATCAAACAAGCGCACAGAAAACCAAAGCGCAAAGCAAGACTTGGCGAGTGTGCTCAAGACAGACACCCACCCCCCACCCCCCACCCCGAGTTTCTCCTATCCTCGCAGTCTCCAGCTCTTCTTCTCTCACGATCTTCTCTCTCACCCTTCTTTCTCGGGTGAGAAAACAGAGGC